CGCCGCCGGCGGCGGCTCCGCCGCCGCCGTCCGATCCCCCTATCGCCGCGGCACCAGAAACCCGTGAGCCCGCGGGCCGATCCTCATTAGGCAACCTCTGTCCGTTTCGAAGAGGAGCGTAGTGGTCAAGGAAGTTCATGGAAGCGATGGATAGGGAGGGCTGGATGTCGAAGGTGAGGGTGATGGCCAATTCGGCGGCCGACCAGCGGTGCGCCGTCCTCGGATCTTTCCGGTCGTTCGGCTGCCGGCTTGTGGAGGTATGTAATCGTGATCTGTGGTGTGGTGTGGTGTGGTGTGGTGTGGTGTGGTCACGAGAGGAAATGTGGAGGGAAAGGGGAAGGGAAAGGGAAAGGGAAAGGGAAAGGGGAATCGGGGTCGCGGTCATGGTTGAAGTGGAAGCATCGTTGACAAATCGTGATGTATGGATGCTGGTCCCGAGGTGCGGATGTGCGGAGGTGCGGGGGGTTAGGAGATGGTGATTTACGGTGGCGAAATGAACCCCTGGAAATGTGGTGGTGGTAGGGGTAGTTGTCGTTGTGGAGGGAGGAGGTCGCCCACCTCACCTCCACCCCCATCCCCACACCTACAACCACAACATTTCCAGGGGTTCCTTTTGCGCCCGAAATACACCTCCACCTCACCTCCACCCCCATCCCCACCATTTCCACATCCACCACCACCTCACCTCCACCCCCATCCCCTCCACCTCCACCTCCACCACCACCTCACCTCCACAGACACCTGGCGGAATGTACCCCGTACATCGGGGCACATTCCCACAGCCAACACAAGCGGCAACGTGACGTGACAGTTTGGACGAAGCGGCAGGGCGCCGCCAGGGGCGGACGCCGCAGCGGCGGTGGCATCGGCAGCCAACGTTGTCGCGCTAAGGGGAGGACTGGATGCCGCCGCTACTGCTATCGCCGACGCAACCGCCCCTGCCGTAGCAGGGATGGTAGCGGCTGTAGTAGAAGCAGTAGCTGGCTGTAGTGCTGTATCGTCCACTTCCAGATGCACTCCCTGCGCGGAAAGGTGCCACCAGGTAGGATAGACCCATGGGTCGGTAGTTAAAATGTATCTGTTCGACCCACTCGATCCATTGTCTGCCAACTCAGTCCCATGGGTTAGTGACGAGTTATTTCGACCCACGGGTCAGCCATGCGTACAAAGGCTCTGTGGTGGCTAGGCGACTTTTTCCGCCCTGGCTGAAGTACCTGGAAGCTTGCTGGGAGCGGGGCTCCTCGAAGAGGTTTCACAGCGGCGCCTGCAAACAAAAAACATTACAACATTCAGCTTAAAACCCAAAAAAATATAAATATGAAACTATAAAACCTGAAAACCACCTTCTTGCGTTTTAGAAACTATCCCATATTTCATTTTCGCCAAACCTAAAAATAAACAAAAAATAAAAAGATCAAACAAACAAAAGTTATATAAATCCACGCACACCTTTGTGGTTGGTGACCAGCACGCTCATTGCCGTGACCGGCAGTGCGCCCTGGTTTTGCAAAGTTAGGCTCCACGTCAGCCGCTGCCCCTCAAGCACCGCAACGGGGGGACTGCGCAGGAGATCCTCCGCAAACGCGGTGTGTGCCTGAAAGGGAGGACAGATAAACATACATACATTTATAGATACAGATACAGATACATACATTTATGGGACGGACACGTACAGGACCGCACACACGTACAGGACCGCACACACGTACAGGACCGCACACACGTACAGGACCGCACACACGTACAGGACCGCACACACGTACAGGACCGCACACACGTACAGGACCGCACACACGTACATATTCCGCTCTGCTCCCGTAAAACATAAAACGCACAGCCCATGATGATGATGATGATGATGATGATGATGATGATGATGATGATGATGATGATGATGATGATGATGATGATGATGATGATGATGATGATACGTCGTTTGCCCGCCCACACGCACACGTAGTATTTGATCTGAGACACCTGGGGGGCCTGAGGGGCCCGACGGTCCCCTCTTATATCCCTCTCCCTCCCCAACCCCCTTCCCTCTCCCTCCCCAAACCCCAACAGACCGCGGCCGCGTGGATGTCATCGTCTCGAGGACAAACAGCCACTACCGTCGAATCGAACGAAATGCCCATTATCTGCTGCTGTTGTTGTTGTTGTTGTTGCTGTTGTTGTTGCAGGTAGAGAGCGCTGTGCGATCCTGCTGTCGGCTGCTGCTGCTGTAGCTGTAGCTGGACATTCTGTTGACTGCTGACTTGCTGAGGCTGTTGAACAGCGGCCGAGAAGGCCGAGCCGGTTCCGGAGCCGGCAGCTGCCGCCGCCGCCGCCGCAGGGGTGGCGGGCTGGGAGGAGACGGAAGAGGCTGGCGAGGAGGTGCTAGTTGCCCCACCACCACCTTGGGGGTGCAACTGCGTCGTCCCTGGTCCACCCCAGGGACTTGCGCGGATGATGGCCTGCGGGTGCGATGATGGTGGGTGCAAAGCCCATGGCGCAGAGCCCAACACGATAATTTCATCATTACCGGCAAAGTACAAAGTGGCTTCCCTAGCCGACGTCAGCGCGGTACGATCTCGTACAGGAAAACTTTCAGTTTCAAATCCTTCCATATCGTACATATCGTACATGTGTCGTACACTGACCCTTGGCCAGCAACATGTGTTCTGCCCCCAAGGCTTCCGTCATATCGATATCCGGACAGTGCCGTACAAGGTCTCTCACCCTGACGAGGGGAAGCGGGGGAAGCACGTTGACGTGCACAGTACGGCAACCGGACACCGATGATGAAGGTTTTTTGCCGCCGCCACCGCCGCCACCACCGCGGGGCCCCTGCGCCGCCGCCGCCGCCGCCGCCGCAGACGCTGTCGTCGCCGTCCCCGCCAGCTTCTTCAGCGGCATTGAGAAGGGCACTTGCCAAGATACACCCCAACAAGTCACCTGCCAAAAAAGAGAGAGTGAGGGAGAGTGACTCTTATACGAAGGTGACGCCTCCGAAGGGTATTTCTTTTATTCTTTGCATCATAAGAACCTGCGTCCCTCCATGTACGTTCGTCCCTTTATATGTCTGTCCGTCCGTCCGTCTGTATGTATGTACGTGCACACTAAGCCAACGCACCAGGCAACCGTCAATGCCGTACAATCCGGGCAGTTGTGGCTTCCCGCAGAGCACCACTCGCTGGGGTCGGCCGTTGGGGGGCAAGACCAAATTAAGTGAGGGCGTACGGAAAGCCTTGGCGCCGCCGGCGCCGCCGCCGCCAGCAGCGGCAGCCCCAGCAGCCGACGGTGTCGCCGCGCCGCTAGCACCCGTACTGCTACTGCTACCGCCGGCTGCTGCTGCCGCCGCCGCCGCCGCCGCCGGCTGGCGGCCGCTAGCGCCGCGTGTGAGCGACGCGGCGGCCGTAGCGCCCCCGCCTCCACCCCCACCTTGGAGCTGTAGCCCTAGGTACTTGACATGGAGCTGTAGCTGGTCAATCTTCAGCGGTACGGCTAGAGGGTTGACCACGTACACCTCGACCCGACCCTCATCACTACACGCCTACGGGCACAGTAACGGTCCGGATGTTTCGGCGTACCGGGGGGAAAAGAAAGCGAGAGGTCATCCGTGTTTGATTCTCCCGGAACGCGGAACGGGGAAAAAGCTGATGGCTGATGGTGGGTGCAACCCTCGGCGTCTTTTTCTCTCCTCCTCCTTCAGGATCACACTTAGGGACCTATAAAACCTTATCTTCAACAACGAGAACGGAACGAAACGCATAAACTCACCCAGAAGCGCAAACTCACCCAGTCAGGGGGGTGGGCATTAGCCTCCCCGGCTTCTTGTTTGGCTTGGCGCTTGGCCGCGTATGGATTGAAGATGAATGGCCCGCTGCCGCCGCCGCCGCCGCTGCCCTTGCCGCGGCCTGCGGCGCCGCTGGCGGCGATGGTGCCGGCGGCAGTTAGCGTCAGAGGTGTTGGCTGCAGCGGCGGCGCCGCCGGTAGCAGCCGTTTCAGCTGCACCAGCGGTCCGGGTCCGGGTCCTTGGCGAGTGCGCTGACGACTGGAAAGAGCCACAGACGCCTGTGGAGTGTGTAAATCATCACTCAATTTGAGAGGATTTGAGTTTGTATATTTTTGCAACAGCGCAGGAAAAAACACACGCGGGTAACGAGGGTGAAAGTGATGAAATCAGAGGTTGGGGGAACGGGGCCGTACGGGCCGTACGGCAATTGTACGGTGGTTTACGAAAGTCAAAACGCGTTCGGGATGGAACTGTTTATATATATATATATATATATATATATATATATATATATATATATATACATCCCGAACGCGTTTTGACTCTTATATATCAGACCCGACGTTCTGCGCGACGCAAGACTCTGTGTCAATGTCGCTTGGGGATGGAGTAGGTCCGGTAATAGGTGCTCTTAAGCCCTAAGCCCTAAGCCAGAGACGTGCGATGGTGATGGTGATGGTGATGGTGATGGAGATGGTGATGGGAAACCATCTCACGCACAGAATGATGATGTGGAGAAGTTAAGAGCTGCCATCAGTGTGTCCATGTCCAGGGACACGGGCGCGTAGGGGTGGTGATATTACAAGTAGAAGCAACAAGTACAAGGTACTCCAGGAAAAGCTCGCCCCATACACGTAGATAGGCAGACAGACAGACAGACAGACAGACAGACAGACAGCAGTTAGACAGACAGTTAGACAGATAAACGCACGCCAGAGACTTCTGGGCGTTTGTCCTGATAGACTCCCAAGGTGCCGTACCATTTTCCCCTCCCCCCTTTCACCTGCTCCAGCGTGTCCAGCAACGCTGCCTGGTACTGGGGTGTAAGTACGGCATAGTGCTCCCTTGAGTCAAGGGCAGGGGGGTTATGGGAGGGGTAGGGGGGGTAGGGGAGGGGTAAGGGAGGAGCAGGGGAGGGGTAAGGGAGGACCCCGCCTGGACCACTATTTCCCCCCCCCCCCAAACCCCCCGGCGGCCTCCACATCGACACACAACCAAGCCGACATACGCACATACATACGCACATACACATACCTGCATACATAGATACATACATACATACATGCATACATACGCGCGTACCTGAGCAGGGCCGCGGAAGCCTCCCACGCCTCCACAGGCGCATGCGCCTGCTTGGCGGCAGTGAGGGCCGTCTGCACCACCAGACGACGAGGGCGTACGGGCGGTGTGCAAAAGGAGGCGGCGGCGGTGAGTGTGTATGTATGTATGTATATACGTATCTATGTGTGTGGCACCAGCAGCAGCAGTAGCAGCAGCAGCAGCACTAGTAGCAGCAGCAGCAGTAGCAGTAGCAGCAGCAGCACTAGTAGCAGAGTCCCTTACCATGCACGCGTCTACCTCACCCACCCACCCACCCACCCACCTCCAGCATCGCCGTTTGCACCACCTCCCACCCGCGACTGCTACCAGCCGACCTAGGCTGGGTGAGGTACGGCGCCAGGGAGGGCCCCCGGCGTAGGGCCCAATTGAGGCTCCAATGCGTGCGGGGCAAATCGTCGGGATCCTATCGGCCCGGGGGGAAGGAGGAAGCAACCGAGCAGGAGGCGGCGGACGAGGGGGGGGGAAGACGAGGGACGAGGAGGAGGGGGGGGGGGAAAGTCGGTAAGAGAACCTCCCCCCCCGGGGGTGATGGGGGTTAAATCGGGCAGGCGGGTTGGTTGTGGGGTAAGCACGGGCACAACCATGCAAGCGCTCAAACAGGCAAAATATAATAGAATGCAATATGTGCACCAGGCACCAGGCAACGGCATACACGCCACCACACGCCACCACACGCCACCACACGCCACCACGAACCCACCACGAACCCACCACGAACGCACGAAGTCGTTACAACAACTACTTCCCACACACCACCTCAGACGACGCACCTGCACCTGGGGGTCCTCCGGCGGCTCCAACGCGCGAACCGCAATCCGCAGCAACTCCCCCTTCTCCGCCGCCGCCACCGCCGCCGAAGTACGGCACTGCTCCATGGCGTGCCACAGCAGTAGCGTACGCTTGCGGCTGTAGCCAACCATGCCCAGAACCTGCGGGGGCGGGTGATGAAGCGCACAGATGGGGAGGATGGCAGGGAGGTACGACGAAACACACACGGTTGGACGAAAAGAAAAAACCCACTTAAACTGATACTCCAAGATTAGACCGATAATGATGTAAGAGGAAATTTAAGATACGGACCCATACATATTTTCCCCCGCCTCCCCCCTCCCTCCCCCCTCCCCCCCCCCTCTTCCCCCCCTTACCTGCGCGCACTCCACGGTGGCCACCAGGCGGTCCTCCACGCCAGGGAGGGACGAAAGCAGATCCCCCACAGACCCGACCAGCTCCGAAACCTCCTTGCGAGCAACCTCACCCCGCAGCCCAGCCACAAGCCGAGCCAGCTTTAAATGCTGCTCCACCTGGTGGTTGGTGGTGGTTGGTGGAGTCGGGTTGAATTGCAGAGGGATGGGAAGAGTGTGTGCGTGTGTGCAGCAGCAATAGCAATCGCAATAGCAATCGCAATCGCAATCGCAATCGCAATAGCAATCGCAATAAAGAAAAACCCAATAGGAACAGCATTTTCGCAGCATCCACAGCGCTACAAAACACGGCTGCAACAAAATATCTGCGCTCCGAAATCAAAACACACACGCTCACCTCCGAGGGATTCCCCCCTTATGTCCCCCCAACCCCCCCCACCACCCAACTCCCCCTGCCGACCCCGACCCTACCTGCAGCGCCGCCACGCCACCCTTCTTCTTGTATGCCGTACGTGCGTCCGCAAAGCACTCCCGTACAAACAGCTCAGCGTCGCTACCATTGCCATTGAGGTGGTTGGCGGTTGCGTGGCGCGGCGGGAGATGAAGATGCGACGTGGAAGGCGGGAGACAGAGTCAAGGACTAGGTTACATGAAATTGAAGATCGACGAAGCACCCCGTGCCCGCGAAATGTGGACCGCCCGGGTCCTACCGCGCTGCCGTCCCCCCCTTCCCCCCCTCCCTTCCCCCGTCCCCCCCACCCCCCCCTACACCAAGCATGTCTCCACCCTTCTCCCTCCTTCCCTCCCTCCCACCTCCTCCTCAACAGCTCCCACTTCGCAGATGTCATGTAGACTACGGGGAGCGGAAAAAGGGGACGGAAAGACGAACGAACCACGAACGAGTGAAGCGGGGACGGAAAAAGGGGACGGAAAGACAAACGAACCACGAACGAGTGAAGCGGGGACGGAAAAAGGGGACGGAAAGACGAACGAACCACGAACGAGTGAAGCGGGGACGGAAAAAGGGGACGGAAAGACGAACGAACCACGAACGAGTGAAGCGGGGACGGAAAAAGGGGACGGAAAGACGAACGAACCACGAACGAGTGAAGCGGGGAACGGAAAAGGGGGACGGAAAGACGAACGAACCACGAACGAGTGAAGCGGGGACGGAAAAAGGGGACGGAAAGACGAACGAACCACGAACGAGTGAAGCGGGGACGGAAAAAGGGGACGGAAAGACGAACGAACCACGAACGAGTGAAGCGGGGACGGAAAAAGGGGACGGAAAGACGAACGAACCACGAACGAGTGAAGCGGGGACGGAAAAAGGGGACGGAAAGACGAACGAACCACGAACGAGTGAAGCGGGGACGGAAAAGGGGGACGGAAAGACAAACGAACCACGAACGAGTGAAACGGGGGACGGAAAAAGGGGACGGAAAGACGAACGAACCACGAACGAGTGAAGCGGGGACGGAAAAAGGGGACGGAAAGACGAACGAACCAGGAACGAGTGAAGCGGGGACGGAAAAAGGGGACGGAAAGACGAACGAACCACGAACGAGTGAAGCGGGGACGGAAAAAGGGGACGGAAAGACGAACGAACCACGAACGAGTGAAGCGGGGACGGAAAAAGGGGACGGAAAGACGAACGAACCACGAACGAGTGAAGCGGGGACGGAAAAAGGGGACGGAAAGACGAACGAACCACGAACGAGTGAAGCGGGGACGGAAAAGGGGGACGGAAAGACAAACGAACCACGAACGAGTGAAACGGGGGACGGAAAAAGGGGACGGAAAGACGAACGAACCACGAACGAGTGAAGCGGGGACGGAAAAAGGGGACGGAAAGACGAACGAACCAGGAACGAGTGAAGCGGGGACGGAAAAAGGGGACGGAAAGACGAACGAACCACGAACGAGTGAAGCGGGGACGGAAAAAGGGGACGGAAAGACGAACGAACCACGAACGAGTGAAGCGGGGACGGAAAAAGGGGACGGAAAGACGAACGAACCACGAACGAGTGAAGCGGGGACGGAAAAAGGGGACGGAAAGACG